TCTCATTTATAGGGATATTAACTGCCATCAAAGTTGACTTGATGGCAGTTAACTAAAGCAAACAATCAGAAACAATGCAATATAAACACATGTCTACTTGCCTATCTAGTTACAGACAGAGATTTACAGAGTAATATCATTTCCCATAAATACATCACACTTAAGAAAAAACAACAGTGTCCACACATAGACAAACAACTATCATTCCATGAAAACATGTCACAAGTTTAAAAAACTAATAAAACCATAATGGATTAATACCCAGTGCCAGTAAGTTCATATTATATCCACATTCATAAAACTTGGATTTCAGAGAAATCTCATACACCTATGCTGGTGTAGCTTCAGTCAGTTACACAATAGTCTCGGCAAGGTGATTTGATGATGAGAAGTCAGCTAAATACATCATGGACATTTCTTCACTTCCAGTTGATATACCACTGTAGTACTTCTCATTCTATGAAAGGGGTTGATGATGGACCATGGTTGACATGTCTGTGTGAGTCAAGAGGGAATCTGCCTGGGGAACCCATAGCCTTTATTCCTTGAGCGCTGCTGCTAACATCCCAAATTGCAAATATGCTAGGATGCAAAAAGAAGAAATGGTCAGCCCCATTTGATCCTTGTCCACCTGTGCAAGTTTAAAAACAGATCCTTATTTCTACTGCTAATGTTTACTTTCTTCCTTTTACACATGAGTCTATTGTCGAAGGCTTTTATGGCCAGAATCACTGGGTTGTTGTTTGTTTTCCAGGCAAAACGTCAGGAGAAAATGCTTCTGGAATGTGGCCATACAGCCCAGAAAACATACAACCCATACAGGAGTCTCTTCATATGAAGGTGCTTGAAGTCTACATATCTGCTTGGCTTATTTTACCTTCATATAGCTAATCTACAGCCTTTATGTTGCAAAGTTAGTACGCATCTACCCACATTCCCTTTTGATTCTTAACCTCTATGATTTTATCACACAAGGTTACTAAAGCACAATTATAGCTTGAAAAAGAGCACCTGTTCGGGATTACTATGGAACATTGTGATTCATGGTTGGATGATCTCTTTTCCTTGAATCTAATATTCCAGTTCTTTCATTGTTTTCCACTATGTTGTTACTTTTTTTTGGTGCAGTCCCCATATTATAAAATGGAGGGAAGTTCAGGCAAAACAGGACACCCCCCCCCCCAAATCACAAAACAAAGTGCATGTGTCCTGGGTTGGACAAATATGAATATGAAGCAAGAGTATGTGGAAGACTAGTTGTGGCGTGCCCACATTGTGCAATTCCACCAATGTTATGTAAAAAATTGCACCACCTGACATCCACCGGGAAGTTGCAGCCA